CTTGTAGAGCGGGAGAGATAGAGGTTTCCCCAGTAACGGCTGTAATAAAATAAGCGCTGCACTCACAAACGCGGGCATTACAGGCAAGATGAAATGAAAATGGCATCCATAATTTTCTGAAGACAGTCGGTTTCCTTCAGAAATACAGTGATGTAAAAACACCCGCACCGGGTTTCGACTTTGGCACGTGCAGTGCTCATGTTTATTCAATGAAGTCAAAGCCTTTTGGAAAATCTGTTTGTGGCGGTGAGTTTTGATATTGTGGCAGGCGCCACAAATAAATCAATGTATGGGAAACACTGATAAGATCTAAATATTAAAAATTAAAAGGAAACTTACCTGCTTGAACTCTTTCATTTGATCCGGGTGTCTGTCTTTAAAGTGTTTTGTTAGTTTGTTGTGTTTCTCATTTTGAGGTCGCCATGTCTCAGTGCTTTTATGAAGAGAGCGCATCTGCGCACCTTTCGGATAGCGCATCAAGATCCGGGTTGACCGGGTACTCGGTACCACCGGTACTTAAAAAAACCTGGTACTGTAATGTTTTCATTTTTTTAGTACCGACTTGGTACCGAAGTACCGGGTCTTTTGACAACACTAGTACACACACATATATTATGTAAACAAAAACTTTTATTTTGATTGTGATTAATCATGATTAATCGTTTGACAGCACTACTCATTTTTAATGATGACATATACCAAACAACAGGTTTTTTTCAGTTTAAAATGCCACAGTAGAGTCATAAGATAGCCTTGTCCAGTACATCAAATGATTTGTCTACTGTAAAGCTGCTTTATAGCTGAAATTCAATTTGTTTCATAACTGAAAATGTTATTTTCATGTTTATTGCTGTGAAGCTGCTTTGAAACGATCTGTATAGATACATGTGACTTGATTTGATTTTGTGTGCTCCCCCAGTGCTCTATATGTGGTCGATTTGAAGAAGTTCAGGAAGATCGCAGCTGGAGACAGACTGAGAGGCCAGTACCAGGGTCTGAGTCAGGACCCCAACAGCCTGTCCAACCTGGACCAGGTGGGATGTTCTTTCCTTCACAGAAAGGCTTTATCACTGGGCTCATCATTTGGGCTCCTCATTGATGATGTGTTTTCCTCTCTCAGGATCTGCCCAACAACATGATCCACCAGGTGCCAATAAAGTCACTTCCTCAGGAGTGGCTTTGGTGTGAGACCTGGTGTGATGATGCATCTAAAAAGAAAGCCAAGACTATAGATCTGGTAAGTCAGTTGCTCTCTGCACAAAACGGTTGTGAATTTGTCAAAAAAAATTGGTTTGATTTTCATGTTTGTTTGTTGTCAGTAATTAACACTTTGTATTTGTCGGTCTTAGTGCAATAATCCACAGACAAAAGAGCCCAAGCTGCAGGCTGCTGTACGTATAGTAGCCGAGTGGAGCGACTATGACCAGGAGATAAAGAGAATCTACAACAATTTCCTGGAGGAGAAAGAGAGAGACACCACAGACAGCTATCAGCAAACAGACAGAAAACACCCAGGTGAGACCAATCTGTCCTTTTCATTTTTGTGTTAGAGAATGTCACTGTGATGTTTTAACCTGTTGAATGGCACTTTCCACAATTATGGTACAAAATAGGACTTTAAAGATATGTTGTTCATCCACTTCATGAGGGGAAAATAATTATACAGTACAATGTTTAAAAACCGTTTAAAACCCTGCAATGCATGATTTGATTGGTGCGTTTTTACAATAAACATTAAATAAATAAAATAAATGTATTTAAATATTTATTTAAATAAAATGTATAAAATGGAATCATTTAAAAACATACATAAAATGTCACAAATAATGTTGCTTTGTTTCAATAGAGGCAAATAAACTTTTTGGTAATTGGAATTAGTTAATTTAACAGTTTTTCCTTAAAATGAATTAAAAATCTATTCAGCATATCAAAAATATTAAATTTTTGTTCACTACCGTTTAAAGTTTGGTGTCTGTGATTAATTTTATATTAAAAAGCATTATGCAAATGCATTAATTTTATATAAAAAGTAAAATGGGTTATATTGTGAAATACTGGAATGTTAAATACCTGCTTTCTGTTTTAATATATTGTAAAATGTCATTTATTCCTCTGATGGCAATGCGGAATTTTCAGCAGCCAGTATTCTAGTAATCATTGTCACATGATTCTTCAGAAATCATTCTAATATTCTGATTTGATGATCTAGAAGTGCTCCATATTATTATTATCAATGTTGCAAATATTTCACAGGAAACCATGAAACATTTTTTCATGATTATTTGATGAATAGAAAGTTCCAGAGAACAGCATTTTTAAAAATAGACATAATTTGTAACATTTTAATTGTCTTCAATGTCACTATTATATAGCAGACTGTTCATTTAAAAGCCACCCATGGTGTTGAAATGCCACGGCAGCAAAGTGAAGTCATAGTAGTTCGACTTTAAAGCACAGATAATTTTCTGTGACACATCACAGTTCAGTTAGAGGCTCCATTTAAAAATTCAGATTCATCTTTTGGTAAACAAGCCAGCGCTAGTCTGGTTTTGTGATTCTGAAAGTGGTGTTTCCATACAGCAGGGCAGTTTTACGAAAATGTTAAAATCACATCACTCTTCAAAGAGTCGCATCAAAAGACCTTTTAACTCCGGAACAAGCTATTCGGTCGATTTAGTCACAGCTAAAGAATTTTTTCTGTTCCGCAGAAGGACATTTTTATTTACTGAAAAATCTCTGTGTGCATTGAAAAGCTCCAGTAGTGTTGTCACAGCCTAATGTTGGTTCTTGGTTACTCCACATTAAAATGATTCATAATGGCAGTCAGTTAATGAAACTCAGTCAATGGTCCTTTAGGCCTACAGGATTAGAATGATGTCTTCAGAAGATTACGAGGGAGGAAAAACACCAACTTCCTTCAGAGAAGCTGCTAGCAGGTAATTACAGGTTGTTGTTATTTATTTGAAAATTAGAAATGTTGTGGCAACTAACTAAAATAAAAAGTTGAAGCAGCCCTACTAAACTAAAATAAAACAAAAAAATACATAGAAATAAAAATGACAAAAGCTAATAACAAAATGACTAAATATAAATGTGACCCTGGACCACAAAACCAGTCATAAAGGTCAATTTTTCGAAATTCAGATTTATACATCATCTGAAAGCTGAATAAATAAGCCCTCCATTGATGTATGGTTTGTTAGGACAATATTTGGCTGAGATACAACTATTTGAAAATCTGGAATCTAAAAATCAAAATATTGTTAAATACAATAATAGTGCATAATGGTTTGAAAAACAAATTCATCACATGTTGCCATATAGCCTACCCTGTGGGATTTAACATACTCTTTATGCTAAATCTTTATGTAGCAAATAAGAGTTGTATTATTATTTTTTAAAGTTTGCTGTATTTAATAATAATTTAAAACTTTTTAAAAATGTTTTAATTGGTGTATTCATTGAAATATGTTTCACGTCACTTCAGATAGATTCTTGGCTGTCAGTAAACTGGAAGTGGCCTAGCTTCTTTTGCTGCCCAGTCCTATAAGGAAACTGCATTTCAAACCAACTTCAGGCAACATAATGTAATGCATAACATTTCTATGATTAAATAGAATAGTAAGTTGGACAAAGGGCGTTTTTGAGTTTAGTAACTTGTTATCCACTCCCTGACAGCATGCACAGGATTATGGGATCTCATAGGCAGTGAAGGATCTACTTTCTGGTATTATTTGTAGGCCTATATACCATTATATTATTTTTATTATTTATTTTCTATTTATTTCTATTAAAACTTTCATTTATTTATTTTTAGTTTCAGCGATATAATACTTCACTTTAAACCTATAAGGCAACATTTGTAATTTTTAGGTTACATTTTTCATCTAATATATATAGTTTATCTCAGTTTTATTTCAATTAACAAAAACAATTTTAAAATGTATTCCCTGAGAAGGCGGTGAGTTGTCATTCTGCTGCAAGACCTATTCTGAGCTGATGACTGCACCTTGTTGTAAATCTTGAGGAGCAAAAGGTCTCATCTACTTTTTTTTTTTTTTTTATAGCATTGATTGCCTTTCAAGCCATGACTGTTCTGCAGCCCTGCTGTTTAGTCTCTCAACCATACAGGTGCCTTGACCTCTGTTTCAAGCAGCCTTCATCTTAAAGCCGGTTGGGTCAGCAGGTGATGATACAAACTTGCGGCTCTCCTCAATAACCTTTATGTCATTCTCACTCCACAGTCTGGCTCTGTGGGTCCAACCGTGGGTCCCATTGTCTTCACTTTTCAGTAGACTTTTTCTGGTGGTCAAATGTCTCGGTAGGATGAAAGACACTTGCAGAACGTGTTTTATTCCTTCATTTTAAAAGTGGGCTGCTCTTTTTGTTGACTTAAATCAAATCTATATCTGTATCTGTATCAAAACGTATTAATGACGTAATGGATGAGTGTCAAGGTTTATTTTAGCATGCAGTCATAGCTGATGTTGCAGTAATGTAGCGAGCCATTGGGTGACGCTGTTACTCTATGAGCCACTGACAGCAAACCGTTCAGTAGCATGTAAACATGACGAACACTCAAGGTTTTTAATAGTTAATTGGTCTTGTTTTTCAAAGTGACTCTCAGATACAAAGATGATGGCAGCGGGCACTTATCTTTTGAGAACATCCAGTCAATGGCTTTTAGGAGTACAACTACAATTTCAAATCATATAGCCTACTGCTATATGTTGACATCCAACTTCTTGTTGGTTTGTGAATGACTAATTCACACATGCACCAACAAACGCTAACGTGCCACACCTTCTAAGTTCTAAGCTGTTAGATTTTGATTTGTCATTTTCACACTGCTCGAACAAACGGTTACCACAATGATCAGACAAAACCTAACAAGTCAGTGTTCTTTGTAGCAGTCTAAATTAGCCTTTTTGCTACTATTAACCACAGCACAGACTCTGCTCTATATTTAGATCATTAGCCTGAGGTCAGCGAAAGTGTGTTCACCCCAAGAAAGTCTATAAATAGTCTATAAAGCTATATGTTAGCTTTTCCAGCTATACTGAAATATTAGCAATTGTGTGTTGCTTTCTTCAGAATGTCCATCAGTTCGAAAATATGCTTTTTATAATCACATAGTAGGCTTTTACCAGCCGGGCTAACAGGGTCACACTAACCAGCCAAAACGGTTGTTTCCCTAGTTCACACATTTAGTTAGTGATGTGTATGTCAGCCAGTGAATATATGTGCTCACAGTTGATTAGACAGGCCGTATAGTCTATGAGTTTTCACTTGATTAGCCAAGACTAAAAGGTTTTGGTGCCAGAGTTCCCATTATGGTCATCATGAAGCATTTGCCGTTGGAAGTTAGAACACAGCATGTTGACTGATGGCTTCAGGATCTCACTGCTGATTAACCAGGTCTGTGAATCCTTCCAGAAATCTAGATCCTCCTCACTGATAAACCAAAACCCTGTTCATTATATAACGCTACCCTGTTTCTTCAGAAGACTTGAATTAAACCGCTCAATTCATATGGATTTCTTTTATGATGTCTTAATGAACTTTTAGAAGCATCAAATTTTTGGTTGACAGGGACAGAAATCTCTCAGGTTTCGTTAAAATTGTCTTAATTTGCGTTGCGAAGATAAACAAATATCTTAAAGGTTTGGAACACCATGAGGGTGATAGTCAGATGTGTTTTTGTTTGTTTTTTGGTGAACTATCCCTTCAAGAGTCCAAATTATGTTCAATGCACTATAGCAATGTTTTTAGGTCTGATCAGGTGTGTTAAACATGTTCAGCATGTATGAAAAGAGAATCATATGACTGAGTGAATGTCAGTGGTCGCGCAGTTGAGGCTACCCTGTAGAGAACAATGAATTACAAATTCTGCACAAAAACAAAGACTCAATTAAATATTGATTGTTTGATTCTGATGTCCACAGAGAACAAGTGCATGTCACTTTCAACAAATTAATGTTTTTTGTTTTGTGTGTGTTCACAGTATTCCACAAAATCAAAAGCATGGCGGGGTTCCTCAGCGTGATTCCTATTGTCAGTCTGCTATGAAGGTACACAAAAGGACATTGTAAATGCATCTGGCGTGAAAACCCGATTAAAATAAGAGAGTAAATCTGATTAACATTGATTGACATCCTCTAAGAAGTGACAACCGTCAATTAACAGTGGGTAAGGAGGCTGTGGCGTGGGATGTGTTTTGCAACCTCATGCCCAGCAGGTGATTGGCAACACTGCATCTGACTGACCTTCAGCAGGTGTTGAAAGAATAAAGAGGTTTGCGCTAACACGTCTACCCCACACACGCACACACAGCCCCCTCTATGCTTCGGTGTCCTGCCTGAAGCACAGTCAATACTGATAACTCAGCCCTGAGCTTATGTTTGCACGCTTTCCCTGCCCTTGATCCCCTGTGTCCTCCCTAGTGTGTGTAGTTGTCCTGTTCTCTCTTTAGAACAGAGGAACCAGGGGCCTCAGCCTAATGACTCCATCCAGCC